TCTGGTGCTTCCCTTGCTGCTTATGTTTACCAAGCCTGCTGCTTTGAATGGTTGTGATGTATGCTTAGTTAATACATGAAGTTTGAATGCCTGATGATATATTTCACCAATGTTTTAGATTTCAGATGTCTGTAGTGACATTTTGGCTTCCCTTTACTAAAATGGAAACTATTTGAATCGTAGTTCAATATAAATAAATAAATAAATAAATAAATAAATAAAAACAGAAAAAACTGAGTCATATGTTCCTCTTGTCAAACACAGTATGCACTCAGATTATGACTTAAGAGGACATCTAGTGGACAACCCTGGAAACAACATGATGCAAGGAAGCATACAGTATTAGTCAACCACCCAAAAACTAAGATATATGAGTCAAACTGCTCAGACAGAAATCTGGGCAGTAAATGATTGACTGCATTAAGGTTTGATATATTTTAGCACAGCTTGTGACTACAATGACACTGCTCCTTCTGTCAGCTGGAGCATGCATTAAGCTGGTGCAATTTTTTTTTACAGGGCAGTTATGTGTTCATACAGATTAAAACTCCAAAACCTTGATAGAGCTGGTGGGCAAGAAAACCTACAAACATTGATTTCTGACCCAACTCTTAGACTGAGATATAAGGGATTAATAGACTCCATCCTCACAAACAAAATAATGAAAAAAAATTATATTTTCTCAAATAATCAATTTCCAATATTATTGCTTTGCAGCTTCCAGATGAGCTCTCCAGGGTGGAGTTTTGGAAATCTCTACTATAAATTGCCCTTTGCGTTAGTTTATTGGGATACTGAGTTGATTTTAGTTGATGATTTTAGTTGAGGAACTTTCAGAAAGAAACGTTTTATTGTTTTGTCCTCAGTGGTGTAACTAATCATCTTGAAAAATGACCTTATTATTTGATTGCATTTTTTCTTCTTTAATCTCAAAATGATGGATTAAGCGTGTTTTTTTTTTTTTTTTGTCCACATTTCCTTCAGCAGATTTGCAATGTTTCAGGCTAACATTGTTTTTATTAACTTTTATCTTTTATAGCCTTTATTTTCGAGAGAAATTACTCTAAGTTATCTTCATAAAATATCTTACCTGTATTTGTTTAATGTGTTTGTTTCCCTTTTCCCACCATCTTATTGTCTTTGTTCTTACTCTAGATTGTTTTGTGAACCCATCTGAGTTGGAACAACCAACTCCGTTTGCAAAAATCTCTCTGAATTTATTCTCTTGAAAACATTTTATAGCAACTTCTAATGTTTTCAAATCACAACCTTTTTGTTAAGGACATGTTTTATGTGAATCAAAGAGATGCCTTATTTTAACTGAAGGCTCATCAGAATAATGAGAGAACTGCAGGTATTGATTTTAGAAATGGAAATTACAGTGACTATTTATGTTCTTCTATAAAAAGGTAATTAATTTAACTAAGTAATCTATCTAGTAATTAATCAGTAATTCACCAATACAGGGGGTTGTGCATGAGTTTTTTGTATTTCATAAGTTTTTTTTTCTTGTTTTGCTTTAAAATAAACATCTGATAGAGCACCCAGCAATTTCTGCATATTTGTTTTTCCAGTATATTATAATGTAGCTCATAGAAGCTGAACTTTTATTCAGACCATTAAAATGAAACCCAATTATAGGACTTATCAACAGAGTTCTATGGTATCTTTTTGGCCCTAAACTGTCAATTTCTGTTTTTCAGTTTTGTTTTGTTTTGTAGTTTCAAGTGGGATTTTATGACCCTCAACCCCACACTGCTCTCTGGGCACCACACAGTGGCAGCTCACTGCACCCAAGGAGATGGGTTAAATGCCGAGATACATTTCTCCGTTGGGAGAACAATAAAGTTCAATTATTATGTTATTGTTAAGTCTAAACAATATTAATTGGATAAGAAACATTATTGAATTTCATATAAAAAAATTCAAAAAAACTTTCTCAGTTGCTCAAAAAATGCTATCGCTTACAGTGCACAGAATCAGTTCAATTACCAAATTTAATACAGATGTTACAAAGCTTTTTCTTATGTAATCTACACTGGCTGAGAAAGAGAGAAATGTTTAGAAACGTTCAAAAATATTAGATTAAGACCACTTTATTAATCCCACCAGAGAAAACGTGTTTGAGCAGCACAGGTGACAAACCTAAAGTAACATATTAAAAAAAATTATTGAAATAAAATATAACAGGGAGCTTGGTGATCAAAATTAATAATAATAAAAACACAAACAATAGTAAAGATAGCACAGTTTAAAAGAAACTAATTAATTATTTCAACATAATGATTATTAATCAAATCAGGTGAGAAATAATCACAGACATTGCACTGATGCATCACAAGCTCTTTAGCCTAATGTAATGAAAACTCAATATATTTTTTAGGTTAAACAAAACTAAAAGCTAGAGAATGCTAAAATCTGTCAAATGTATTTTGTTACACATGAAGTTTATTAATAGTAGACCATTTTTATTCTCAGCTCTATTCTTTAAGGCATCATTTTGTGAAATCCTGCAGTGAACTCTATACTTAATTACCCTGTTCTGTTTTTCTTTTTAATGTACCGATCATTTCTTTAGAGCTTATTATTTGGTTTCGCCCAAGAAGGTCATCGCAAGAAAAAAATGTTTCTCTAAAATGTCTAGCCTCTTACAAATGTTCATTATTTGGAATATATTTCTTAATTTGTGTGACCCTCTTATGTCTTTTATTTCTCTTTAAGTCAAGTTTAATTTGTGAGGTTTCAATGGACTCAGATGCATCTCAGCAGAAAAAGGGAAATTTGCTTAACACTGTTTAAAAGTGAGATAAATTTAATATTCAATACACATAATTTATATTTGTTTCAACTCTGAATATTGTGAATAAAATGTAATGAAAACTTAAATGGAATTTATTAGAAAATTAAAATATTAAAAAGGCACTAAAAAGGTTTACATTTGGACTTGTCATGCTTATTTTGAAATCTACATCATAATGAAAAGAATGATGACTTGACAGCTGACCAGCAGTCATTGACACTCCACAATGCGAGAAGCAGATAAAGATAATCACTTTTGCTGCATCAAAATATGAGATAAGTTAAATGGGGAGCCATCTAAAGAATGTCAAGAAATCTTCTGCTGTCACTGTTAATGGAGATGGTGTTTTCCGACAGTTGTCTGTGCACAAGGTGAAAGTGCCATGTTCTGGTTTAATGCCCAAGAAAACACTGTGCCTGACTGGCAAATAAACCCATCCGACCTAAACCCAATAGAGCGGAGGTCTTCAACAAGGGGTCCGCGACCCCTAGGGGGTCCACGGAGGTACAGCATGGGGGTAACAAAAGTTTTAGTTGATTAGACTTTTTTTTTATATTCCCCTCTTCATTTTTTTCCACTAATTGAAATGTCTTACACATTAACATGAATTCAACACACTGTAGTGAACAGATAGATGGAGGCAGAAGTTGTCTTTCAGTTATCAATGCACACATTCAGCAACACACAGGACCTCTTTCAAGCTGGGCACCGTTTCTTTCACAACACCTGTGCTATCAACCTGGAATCAGTATCAGAAATACTTTAATAATCCCAAGGAGAAATTACTTTCGTTACATGACTTCATCTGTAATAGAGTGACACAATTTCATACAATATATATAATTAGGGGGTCCCCGCTCCATCTTGCCATCAGTTTGGGGGGCCTTGGCCTGGGAAACATTGAAGACCCCTGCGATAGAGGTAAAAAAAGAAGTCCAAAGATGCATACTAGTTGGATGCAGCCTACTGAGAGCTGCCACTGGCTGGTGGACTTCAAGCATCTATGCACTGACTTTGTCGGCATTGACATATATTTGACATATATTTCAACTGGTTTAAATCTCCATCTCTACTTTATTTTATCTTAAATTTATTTTGATATTTTTTCAAGTAATATTATAGTTTTCATATGAAATACTTTTTTTTATCTAGGCCAAAGTACGGTGGCCCAGAGGTGTCAACACTAATACAAAACCTGCAACGCAAATACAAAACCGCAACACAAATACAAATGCTGCAACACAAATACAAAAGCCACAACACAAGTACAAAAGTCACAACACAAATACAAAAGGCGCAACACAAATACAAATGCTGCAACACAAATACAAAAACTGCAACACAGATACAAAAGTCACAACACAAATACAAAAGGCGCAACACAAATACAAAAGGCTCAACATAATTACAAAAGCTGCAACACAAATACAAAAGGCGCAACACAAATACAAAAGGTGCAACACAATTACAAAAGCAGCAACACAATTACAAAAGCAGCAACACAAATACAAAAGCCGCAACACAAATACAAAAGCCGCAACACAATTACAAAAGCAGCAACACAATTACAAAAGCAGCAACACAAATACAAAAGCAGCAACACAAATACAAAAGCCGCAACACAATTACAAAAGCCACAACACAATTACAAAAGCAGCAACACAAATACAAAAGCAGCAACACAAATACAAAAGCCGCAACACAAATACAAAAGCCGCAACACGATATAAAAGACGCAACACAAATACAAAAGCCGCAACACGATTACAAAAGCTGCAACACAAATACAAAAGCCACAACGGAAATATAAAAGCCACAATGTGTTACGGCTTTTATATTTGTTTGGCGGCTTTTGTATTGTGTTAACACCTCTGGGTCACCCTACAAAAGTCATAAAACTAAACAGAAATGTATCTAATAAATAAAGAATGTTGAGATTTTTTGTCATTTGATAAAAATCAATATAATTTATGACTTACTTAGGTTCAGTGGTTTATATTATAGTGAGCTTTACCAAGATCATCTTTAGGCTTATGTAAATAAAGCCCTGCTGTAAGTGAAGGAAATACTTTGCATACTTTTAGAAATTATGTTTAAGATTGAAGAAAGTTAAGAGTATCTCAAATCGAGCGCCGTCAACGCAAAAGGCATTTAAAAGGTGAGCGTTGTACGCAGGAGGCCTGACGAACCGCCGCTGTCTGCTATGGCTCCTCCTGCTACAGTGGAACGGGGCCAGACGTAACACCAGTGCGGGCGAACGGCGAGCTATACAGCGATACGGTCCTCTCGAGCCGCGGTGGAAGATGGCAGCTCGTCTGATGCTCAAGAAAAAGACATAGACGGCGTATTCTGCGTCGCCTCTTCTGTCGTGAAAGCTTCGACATTTTCTCCAGATTACCAACACCCCAAATGAACTCCGTCAGAGCAAGTAACGTGAACAGAAGACCTAGGCGAGTATCAAGGCCGCGCCCGGTGCAGCCCGATAGGAACCACCAGGAAAGAGGTAATTTTTGCTTTAACTTATATTAGCTCTGTTTAGAAGCTTGTGAAATTCACATATCTGGTCCTTTTCTAACTTTATCTACAATATGTTTGATATTTTTCGTATGTTATTTAAGTTAAAAGAGGAAAAGCATTGTTCAGTGTGAACGCAGCGCAGCATTCTCGGTCGGGGTGATTTACTCAGGAAAGGTCGAGGCTTCTGTGTTTGTAGCTACCATTTAGGCCGCGCTTTGTTTTGTTTGATTTTATACGAGTCGACACGTCTTCTGCCTGGTTTATCAAATATCGTTGATATTATTTTATTCAGGTAAAATAACACATGTTTAATTCTTGTATAACCAAACGTACAGACTGTAGCAGAATGACTGTTGACAAACGCCAGGAAGGGCGCATTAAAGGGTTTTGCTAGTTGCCGTAGCAAGCTAATTGAATGTAGCCCGTGCTACTTAGTTGTTATGATTGGAGTGTTTGGGCGCTGCTTTATGAGTACTTTAGTACCTCCGGCTGTCATTTCCTCCTAAAAACGCCCCTGTCTTTTTAGCCTCTGCGATTTTGAAATGTCAGTGTCGATTGTGCTGCTCGACATTGTGACTGATTTCTGTAGGAGAAACCCCATTGAGGTTTTAGCATTGTGGCTGACATTAAACGGTGAACTATGAGGGATCTCAATGTCTAAACGTAAACATTACTCATAATAGAAGTATTTACTGGTACTTGTTGTGTCACAGCCTATTTCTTGGGGCCAATTTACTGGTTTTATATATATGTCTGAATTCATTTTGACGTTATTTGCCCACTAGGGCATAGTGAAATATTTGATCTCAAATGTCAACTGGAATGCAGTCAGAAGGAGATATACCTTTGTAAAAGTTATTAATCCAAACTAAGATATGTATGGGCCAGTTTGACATTATGTTATTATAATGACCTGGCATTGCAGCTTAATCAACATGCAAAATAGCAACTAATTCCTACTATTGTAAAAGAAACTCAATTCATCATCAAAGTGTTTATATTGGCATAAACAGATACTGTTAGATTCTTATAGTTTTTAGCCCTTGCCATATTTGCATACTATTTCATGCAGTTTCAAAACAGTAGTTATCAATGAATAACATCAAGTTTATAAACGGAACAATTAGCTTCACATTAATTTGTCATTCGTGTTCAAATGTTTAGGCACCTTTCAACCAACTGAGCAGCAGTGGACAGTAGAGAAAGGGGCAAATGCATTTTTCTCAATCTGTGACCTCATAATTTAAACTGTTATCTTTCACCTCAGTAAAATGGATTTGAAATGCAGGGACTGTGTGATGTGATGGCAAATTTATACAGTTTTGAAACTATAACTCTTTAAAAACTAGGTATTCTTTGATTTGAGTGACAAGTCTATTCCGATGTTTATCTAATAAAATTATGCCAAAATAGACTAATTTACTTTTTTAAAATAAACAAAATACATATGGGGTTTAAACTCGCTGATACCTACCAAAAATGTTAAGGGATTTGCTCATTTTGTGCATATATTTATATATATATATATATATATATATATATATATATATATACATATATATATAAATACACACTAATGCAGGAAATTATAAAGATAGGTTTTAAATTTTGATAAAATCTTTCATTATGTAGCTGCTAAAGCATTTCTACAAACCACAGACTATATGGCAGTAATCTTATTTAGCATTGTTTTGTCTATAATAACAGTTTTACATTTTTGAATATGTTATCGTAAAATCCCACAGTTTTTGATAGATTTATAATTTTAGTTTATCTAAGTAAAAACAGTCCCATTAGTTATTTCAATTTAGTTTTTCAGGTTAAGTAAATAGATGTTATCCTTAAAAGTGGATTGTTAATTTACAATCGGAATGTGATGGATTATTAAATCCCATAAATACAATAATATTGTTGTTGTAAAATAGTAGTAATATATTTTTCCCAGCTGAATCTTAACACTTAAAACTGCCTTTATTACGTTGCTTATTAACCTGAGAATGTTGTTACCGCTTATTAGCAATAACTGGTTATTGCTCCACACTTTTTTCAGGCTCATACAGATGAACTTTTCATTTCTTGTTTTTTAGTTCTTTGCTGCCAATCTTGAATTTGAAAGATGTTTTTTTCCTCCCAAGGAATTCAAAAAAGGGATTGCATAGATTGAATCAAACAGAATTTCACCAATATTTATTGAAGCCTATTTCTTTTTTACCTGCTTCTCATCAATCAGAGATGGTCATTTAGTTGTAACGTGTAACAAAAGCTGTTAGTTATGGTTACCCCTCAAACAGTATTTCTCAGAGAACTTGCACTGGAAGTGTGCATTTTGTTTTTAAAACAGCATGGGAAACCTAATCTTAAAATGCTTTGGTTGGTTTATTTTGTTGATTAGGGCCCCTCTTGATAAGATATTTAATTAGCTTATTCTTAGGTCCTAAAAGGACAGTGTAACTTTACTGATTCCAACCTTGGCTTCTCATGTGTGTGTGGTCCAGGTCCTTAATGTATTACTTATGCAATCAAAGTATTTCTACAGGCTTGTAATATAGTTTTAACAGTTAATTTAGAGGGTAAGTTAATTAGTTAGTCCTCTGAAAACACAATTTAGTTTTTTTCTTACATTTACATTTATTCCTGTAAATATAGATTAGACTTTTTGAGCTGCCTCATGTAATTTTGTTTAGTGATCGATGAGAAACTCACTTTCTAAGGAGCTTAAAATTCAGATGAACCAAGGTTTTTTTCCCTTATCTTGCTGATAAATTTGTGTTTTTTTTTTTGTTTGTGTTGATTTAATTACTAGCATTTTCCCCCTCGTCTACTAATCGTAGATGAGGACATTCCTGCAGAAATGGTTGCAGAAGAATCTGGTCCAGGAGCTCAGAATAGTCCCTACCAACTTAGAAGAAAGTCTCTACCTAAGAGAACGGTGTGTCCCACAAAGACAAACATGGAGGTACGCTGGTCTTTCTAAGGCATTGTCAAAAATGTATGGCTGAAAAGATTTGCTTCTAAGGAAAATTCCACTTGAAAATGAGAGATTTCCACTGACCTCCTCTGTTCACAGGGTGCCTCCACTTCAACAACAGAAAACTTTGGACACCGACCTAAACGCCCCAGAGTTTCAGGAAAGGGTCCCGATTTACCAGGTAAACACATTTTTTTTTTTTTTTTGTCTTCCATCTTTTCTCAGGTGGATTCATCATCACAGGGATTCATAGGCTTGTCACATTAAACAATAAATCAATTAATTGAATGATAAGAATTTATCACAAGATGCATTTAAAGAAGATCAATTTCAACTGCAGCTTTGATTGTTTTCCCTGCGTCTCCCTCTCTTTCTATTGAAAGAGAGGGAAGTATAGATGCCTAAAGGTTTCACTTGTTTGCGTTAGTCTCCACTCTCCTCTCCTTTTATAGTTTCCTTAGCGCAGTGCTGTGTGGAAGAACTTTGCATTCAAACCAAATGACATGTTATCCTCAATCGCACAATATCTGGGACAATTTATAATCCTGCAAAATTTGTTATTATAACAGGCCTATTGAGCAATTAGCCAAATAATATACTGTGGGCATTAAAAACTCATAGGAGTTGGTTGTTAAGAGGTTGATCAAATATCAAATAATTGTGTTTTTTTTTTTTTTACTTTGCTCACCTAATTCTATCATCTCAAGTTATTTTGCGGTGAAACAAACATGCAGACTTGTTTCTTCTCTTCCTACTTCCATGTTTTGCGTTTTATGGTTAAATCATTATGCATCAGTTCCTTTCAGTGAAATTTTGAATTTTGGCTTATAACATTTAACTTAATAGTATATTTTATTGTGTCCTTATCGTATGACTTGATTCCAATGATGCTGGTCCCCATTTGATCCAGTTGGTTTCTTGAAATCTGACAGATTGCAAAAAAAAGCATATTAAACCAGAATAACTCTCATGATCTACATGTAGATGTTTCATCACATGAGAGAGTAAAAAAAAAAAGTATTGTCCGTTATAATATAAAAGATTTGAAATGGCGACCCTGGGGATCTTTTTGGGTTAAACATGCAGTACTGCATTAAGCTTGCAGACTAGGAACCTATGAAGTCTGGTTCTTGGGACAGTTGGAGTCTCACAGCTGTTCTAGCTAAATGACTTGAAATAAAGGTTATCTGCTGACATATTCTTGTTGTATTGAACTGTCAGCTCCTATCATTATGCTCATGCTTGGTTTTAATAGATGTATTTTTATTTCTTCCCCCATACCAGGTCATTGAATGTATGTATTACAGAAACTTGCTTTTAGTGTGATGTTTGAGTCAGTTCATTCAGAATCTGTTCCCATAAAAACTTTATGCTCAAATGCTGTGATCATTGTTTCCCCAGCTGCTCCAGCAGAACAGTATTTGCAAGAGAAGCTTCCAGATGAGGTGGTGCTGAAGATTTTCTCATACCTGCTGGAGCAGGATTTGTGCCGTGCAGCTTGTGTGTGCAAGCGCTTCAGTGAGCTGGCCAATGACCCCATCCTCTGGTAAGACTTAATGATGTAAAAGAGAACTAAACAGACTAAATCTAAAGCTACCATGTTTGAACTAAAATCTAATGCTGGTCGCTAAGATATGTTTCTTTTACAGGCATATAGGATGGTCACCACTAATCCAAGTGGCTAAATGTATCTTAAATGGAGAGAGTTCAAAATGATCCATAAGCTATTTTGATGTTAGATTGTTAATAAAACATTTATCAGGCAGTTTATGTAATTTGTTTTAACGATTTTGTTTCAGTTGTTTCTGTAAAGCTACAAAATGCTTTAATGATCACAATAAATAGACATTAAACTGTCGTAAATGTCTGTGTAAAGGAAAAATGTGCGGGATGAGAATTTACTGATGAGGTGTTTTAACATTTCAGGAAGAGACTGTACATGGAGGTTTTCGAATACACTCGACCTATGATGCATCCGGAGGCAGGAAAGTTTTACCAGATAAATCCGGAAGAACATGACCAGCCAAACCCATGGAAGGAGAGTTTTCAGCAACTGGTGAGGACTCTTTTTATAACATTTTTGTAACATCGAGTAATTTTTTGTTTTACTTTGAAACTAAATTAAAATGGGCTGCATTTGTTCAAATGTTTCTTAGCTAAAGCACTTGTTTGAGCCCTGTTTTATCTCATCAAAATGCTATATATTTAGCTTTTTTTATTCAATTGTATGAGGAAAACTAACAAAAAAATGTAGTAGGTTTTCAACATTTTTTTTCTTCTTTTTACTTCCAATTTTTTTTCCCCCTCAGAAATTTTCCCTTTGAGGTACTTTGGAAGCAGTCTTATCTGTAGGTTCTGCAAGCCTTGAAAATGCCTGATGCAGAAACTAGTCTTTGATTTTCAGAGTTTTAGAGTAAAGCTCTTGTATTATCATTCATGTTCAGTAAATTGCAGTTTCCAAATTCACAATATCTGAACTTTCTGTTTTAATAGCAGAACCTAACATGTTGAGATAAGTCACATCATAACCCTAGTCTATTTGTTCAGGTTAACTTGAATTAAAATTCTTCTAAAATCCAAAACAGTTTATTATGCATACATTCAGGGGCTTAAAACAAAATATCGTTCTGTTAAATCTTAACTTCAAGTTTTTATCATGAATATAAGAGTTTTATATTCATATAGATATGTGTAAAAAATTTGTAAATATGTGTTCTTTATTAAAAAAAATAGACAAATTCCTGTCGCTTTTTTTCACACCAAAGATTTAAATTAAAGACCCGACCTATCCAGACTGTCTAGGATAACTTCATTATGTTTTTCTCAAAACTCTTGTGTATATTAATGTAAATATAATTCTGTTAAAACCTTGACTCTCGTGTAGGAATTCACTTTTTCTTTTGTATAAAATAATCATGCAACATGTCATCATCACTGTCATGCTGTTGTCACAATGAAGCAGAACCAATTAAGTTTAAATCCCTTTTTATTTGAGTTTGAAACTATCATTTTTCCAGTTTAAATGTTTGCTTTGTTTTTTATTTTTTTTTTATATTGTTTCACTTTTTTAGTATAAAGGTGCCCACGTTAAGCCAGGCTTTGCAGAACACTTCTACAGTAATCCTGCCAGATACAAAGGGAGAGATAACATGTTTGTAAGTAAACTGCCCAACCCTATTTATTCTTAGGGCTTTTAATTTATTATTAATAAATGTAGAACTCATTTGTTTGGTTTTGTTTTTCAGTATTATGACACCATTGAAGATGCACTCGGAGGAGGTCAGGAGCCTCATTTTGACGGCTTGATATTTGTGCATTCTGGTATTTACACAGATGAGTGGATCTATATTGAATCCCCCATCACCATGATTGGAGCTGGTAAGTGTTTCTTTAATCTATTTTACAGCTACATTTTAAACAAATTGTGTCTCCATGTATTGAACTTGAACGATTCATTTTATAGCTCCTGGAAAGGTTGCAGAGAAAGTCATCATTGAGAACACCAGAGACTCCACCTTTGTTTTCATGGAAGGCTCTGAAGATGCTTACGTTGGATTTATGACAATCAGGGTAAGAACATAGTATGTGACATGTTAGCTGCATTTTGTTTTTCATATTTTCGGTACTTATCCCTTAATTTTTGTCTGTGCTGCAGTTCAACCCTGACGATAAATCTGCCCAGCACCACAACGCGCACCACTGCTTGGAGATTACAGTGAACTGCAGCCCCATCATTGACCACTGCATCATTCGTAGCGCATGTACAGGTAAAAATCCCCTAATCTCTGGGCTCCTTTGCTATGTCATCATAAAGGGTTTCAGGAAGACGGATGGGAGGAGATTTTTCATTATAATTCAAGATGAAGTGTGTCAAAGTTTCTATAGTTTCCCATTCCTACTTCACCTGTACATTTCTAACAATTTATATCTGCAATGTTTAGTTTTCGTACTTTGTATATTTAACCTCCGTTTCTATGTTATATATGTTGACATAAGGTTTTCGTCTTTCTGTTCCAGTTGGGTCGGCTGTGTGTGTCAGTGGTCAGGGGGCTTGTCCCACAATAAAACACTGCAACATCAGTGACTGTGAAAACGTTGGTCTTTACATCACTGATCATGCGCAGGTAAAGTATAGTCAGTGATCTCGTATTTGAAGATGTACTAGTCATGCCTTTTCATAGTTTTCTGTTTATGAATGAGAAAAATGTGGGATAGGATGAAGATCTGCTCTTTGTAATACGATAAATTGTCTGATTCTGATACTTAAACAGAAAGTCATGAGCATCCATTCAGGGATAAAACCTCCATAATGCCCATCTCAGTGATTTATAACCCCTGGCATACATGCTGCAATATTATTATAGTTTTTGTGTTTTACATATTTAAAGGAACTATCATCAGACTGTATGCATACCATTTCTTTAGGGGATCTACGAGGACAATGAGATCTCAAACAACGCTTTGGCTGGGATTTGGGTAAAAAACCACGGCAACCCAATAATCAGGAGGAATCACATCCATCATGGCAGAGATGTCGGTGTTTTCACGTTCGATCACGGCATGGTAAGATTCACCCACTGTTACTTAGTTTAACAAACGATTTCACTCTGCTACTGTATTTCCTTCCTGATTACTTTGATTGAAAGCATGTTTCACACTAAATGCTCCTCTATGTAATATAAGCGAGCAGAGCTGTTTTGAGTTGTTCGTCTTCCCAGGAGGTGTAGTAATTTTGTATTTCTCCATGTTTTTTTAGGGTTACTTTGAGAGCTGCAACATCCATAGAAACCGAATAGCTGGTTTTGAGGTGAAGGCATACGCCAACCCCACGGTGGTTCGCTGTGAGATCCATCACGGTCAGACTGGGGGCATCTACGTGCACGAAAAAGGCCGTGGGCAGTTCATTGAAAACAAGATCTATGCAAATAACTTTGCAGGGGTGTGGATCACCTCAAACAGCGACCCCACAATAAGGTCAGTGGAGTTAGACTGTCTTCCATGCAGGAGCTCTCCTTTAAAGTATTTCTTCATAAAGGCTCTGATGTGTTTTTTTTTTGTCTTTCCAAACACAGGGGTAACGCCATTTTTAACGGAAACCAAGGTGGTGTCTACATTTTCGGTGATGGCCGAGGCCTCATTGAAGGAAACGACATTTATGGCAACGCCCTGGCAGGAATCCAGATCAGGACCAATAGTTGTCCTATTGTGCGGCACAACAAGATCCATGACGGTCAACATGGCGGCATATATGTGGTAAAACTTTAGATCCTATTCAGCCTTCACAGTGAACCTATTTGCTGATTTTCTTCCATTTTTAGAGTAATTTTATTACAAGTTTTACACTGTAACTTGAAACCATAATGGTGACATATGCTCTTTTGTTTACTGCAGCATGAAAAAGGACAGGGAGTGATAGAGGAAAATGAGGTGTACAGTAACACTCTGGCAGGGGTGTGGGTGACAACAGGCAGCATGCCAGTACTAAGGAGGAACAGGATACACAGTGGGAAGCAGGTAAGATCACAGCACGGTGGATTTATCTGTTATACATGGATATTAAGTTGCTGGCAATAATCTCTCATTTCCTGAAGGTTTTTAAAATGACTTGTTCTGCTGTATAAATGTGGAACATATCAAATTAGTTTTGTCTTTCATTTTAAATTCCAATATCCACTATTTAAACAGGTTGGGGTCTACTTCTATGACAATGGCCACGGTGTGCTAGAGGACAATGATATCTACAATCACATGTACTCTGGGGTTCAGATAAGGTTTGTGCAGAAAAGTCAATAATATTGAAAATTTTAAACCAAATCTTGCACCATATGTGCTGAAGTAATTCAGAAATCACTGATGTCCTTTTATTTTTGACAGAACTGGCAGTAATCCTAAAATCAGACGAAACAAGATCTGGGGGGGCCAAAATGGGGGCATTTTGGTTTACAACTCAGGTGGGAAGCAAAAATGTGTTTCTTATTATTTGTACATCACTAATGTAGTGCTTGGTTTAAACCACTCAATTTGTGTTTCAGAAATGAATCAGTATCTTTGGTTTTTCAGGTTTAGGATTCATTGAGGACAATGAAATCTTTGACAATGCAATGGCAGGAGTGTGGATCAAAACCGACAGCAACCCCACGCTGCGCAGAAATAAGATCCACGACGGGAGGGATGGAGGGATCTGTATTTTCAATGGAGGAAGAGGTACTTTGGTTAATATTCTAAACCTTCTTTCTACTTATTTTTTTACAGCAGTCATTTTGAACTAAAGTTGTTTCTTTTGCGAAGGTTTGCTAGAAGAGAACGACATCTTCAGAAATGCCCAAGCAGGTGTTCTCATTAGCACCAACAGTCACCCCACACTGAGGAAAAACAGGATATTTGATGGCTTCGCTGCAGGTGGGTAACACATGCACAGGTGTTTTTAATGGACTTCAAATGTCCTTCAATGTTTGGGTTACAAATTGCGGTTTTAACTTGTGTTTTGTTTTTGCATTGTAGGTATTGAGATAACTAACCATGCTACAGCAACCCTAGAAGGCAATCAGATTTTCAACAATCGTTTTGGGGGATTGTTTCTTGCATCTGGTGTCAATGTTACAATGAAAGGTACTTTCATATTGCATATTTTACGATCTCCTGCTCCTAATTCAATATTCATGTTTAAATGTATTCTTTGTCTACCACCAGATAATAAAATACAAAACAATCAGGATGCCATTGAAAAGGCTGTGAGCAGAGGTCAGTGCCTGTACAAGATTTCAAGTTACACCAGCTACCCAATGCACGATTTCTACAGGTACCCTCCATCGCATGTACAACAATAATCTCTTGTGGCCTTGCTGTTGCTCTCTTATGTTGATTCATTTTTGGTTCACACAGGTGTCATACCTGTAACACAACAGACCGCAATGCCATTTGCGTGAACTGCATCAAGAAGTGTCACCAAGGACACGATGTGGAGTTTATCAGACACGATAGGTTAGTATTTTCTGACCAAAACAGGTCATTATTGGTATAAGTTGGAAACATAGCCATGGCTGGACATGTTACAGCCACTGACCAGCTTCCCTATCACTAATGATGTTCACATACCATAATGCTGCCACCACCATAGTCACATAGGGATGGGATGTGTTGGTTGGTGTGTAGTATAGTCTCACCTTTTCAAAATTTGCTTGTTTTCTTTTTTATAGCTTTAGACCTTTCCCCCTCACATGTGGGCTCTTTAATGATGCTGTTTCTTCACTGGTGTCCTTTTAACTGGTTCTGGCTTGATACTGACATCAGTTTGTTTGAAATCCATTTATTAATCTGGATTTTTATGCATGGCTGTCACGTTTTGTTTTTGTAATGACATTGGTGGTAAAATGTTGAAAGGGATAGATACTTTCTATCATTTGAGATACCAGTAATATCCAGTGAGGTTTAAGGTTGTTCCTCTGCTATGTCTCCTTTATAGTCTGTATTTTTTTCTTTGCTGTCAAACATTATTTTCTAATCAGGTCTCTGCCAAATATAAAACTGTGGGCAAGCCAGATGACGAGTCTTAGAAACGCTGTATTTAGGTCAGTTTTATAGGTTTAAAAAAATTGAGTGCCTTCTGCCTGCAGGTCTGGATAAGAGCTGTTTGTGACCGGCTCTTTAAAAGCAATTTCTCATTTTTTATCTATGAGGCATATTCAGCTGTTCAGTTTCCTGTTCAGTATTAATCACTCATTCTACTGTGTTAAAGCAAACAGACTTTTACTTGTTAGTATACTGTTTATTAAAAGATTTTTGAGCATATCTACGTGTGTTGAGTAATTTAGTACATGGAGTTAAATTCTGTCCAAATAGCAAAAGTCAGGATGCATCATTTATTTATGGAAAGAATCGGGAACCTCTAATATTTAACCCCTTCATTTATTTCTCTTTTCACAAAACATCTAAGGATAATTAAACAATCAACTTTTTTTATACTTCTTGATTCCTCATAAATATTTCCAATGTTTTTACTTGGTTTAAAGCAGTCAATAAAAGGGTTAAGCTACCAAATCTGTGTTTTTACAAATTAAACCACCATTTATTTTGATTTGGTCAAAATCAAGGATATTTATGTTCCATGATTTAATCAAAATGTCTGATTACTTTTCTTCTTGCAGGTTCTTTTGTGACTGTGGTGCAGGGACGCTGTCCAATCCATGCACGTTAGCTGGGGAGCCGACTCATGACACGGACACTTTGTACGACTCTGCTCCCCCTATAGAGTCAAATACGCTGCAGCACAACTGAGCCTTAGACCTGGGGTCTAAACACAAGATACTTTTAGTTGTGCAGCAAAGAGCAAGCCTGAACTATAATATTCACTTTGAGAGAACAAATACAGCTAAAATAAAATGTGGGTCAGGAAATTGTTGAGGAAAAAGAAGCCTGATGGATGCCTCGCTTTTTTCTTGAAAAAAAGACAGGAGGAGCAGAGAGCAGCAGACTCAGGGTATGCGGGTGGGGTTAAAGTGCAAGTTACCAACGGTGAGATGGACAAAAGCCACCTTCACTCATCTTACTTTAAGAAACGCAAGAACAAGATCCTACAGTGATGTACAGATCCAGGAAGAAATGGTCCCTCATTCAAAGATGCTTCCACCACTTCGGCGACAGACATGCTCGTATTTAACATACGACGGGGGGAAAAAAATGACCTAGCACTTCAGCCTCCCCTCCCCCTTCTTAAGAAACTGAGATTTGATTTTATGCTTTTGTGTAGTTTTGTATTTTCATGCAAAAATCTTACTGTACTTGAATGTCTTTATTTTATTAAATGTGTTTGTTTTTTTTGTTATTCCCCACAATTGCTGTAACTATACTCATGTCGCAGTATCTAACTTCTTTCTGTGAAAGAGATCCAAGAAAAAGAGGAAAACACTAAACATTTTCTCTAGCAATGTTGATTTTGGTTGTAGCAACAGAAAAAACCATTGCAGAATTGTGCTTTGACAAGACTGGTTGGAACATGTTAGGGGGGGAAAGTCAGGTGTGGTATTGCAGCCTGCTTTACAGATTCTATGCATATTATTTTCTACGTTCGTCTTGTTAAACATCAGCCTACAGGCATTCAAATTACAGGCTTAATCCAAAACTTATGACCAAGTAAAATGATTGCTGCTGATGTGATAATTACACATCTGATAGGAAATGTAAGTTAAACAGTTTACGTCTGTTCCTGTTTAGAGAAAAGTTGCTTTGTCTTTATTTTCAGATGCCTGTTTTTATATAAACATAAACGCAAGAAGTCTTGTAAAAGCAAAATTTGTATTTTTCTGTTTTTTTTTTTTTTTTCCAACATTGCTGGAGAATTGAACAGCTTTTGCTCTACAGAAGCTGAGACAAGTATCTATATACAGCGCTTTATGGTTTATCATTGCCTCCCTCTCCTTTCATTCATGTGTACTGGTGATTGTGGATTTCTCATACAGACTGAAAATGTATGCATGTATCATAAACATCTAGACTTAATATATTGTGAAGTATTCAATAACCGTTATGTAGGCGCTAGTGTGAATTAAAAGGGTTTAATTTCCTAGATGAAACATTGTCATTTTTTAAGAATAAACTTTATTAGATCATTGCAGTAGTGTTTTTTTTTTCCAAGCACTGAAAAGAACAGAAAATCAGCAACAGTAAGAATTCCAAGATAACTACAGGGTGTTGAGCAGTTGAAGAAGTGAAGTGAAGCGTGTTTTGTCCTGAGAAGCGTCTTCAGCGAACTGACAGAGTTTTCTGCAGAGCAAGAGAAAACAATTAGTTTCAGCTTAAAGCAAACTTAAGTATATGTTGCAAACGGAAACATACCTGAAGAGTCTGAGGCTGATGGTGCTTTTCTCAAACTCTCTGGCCTTCCTGTGCCCAGACTGGATGACCTCTTCTGGCAGGTTGGCGAGTCGAGCAGCGTTGAACCCATAACTCTTTGGACAAGCGCCGCTGATAAACTTGTAGAGGAATGTAATTGTTTCCTGACTCGGATCCTCGCATTCATTCTCCACCATGCATGCCTAAAAGCCATAAAAAAACAAATACATCAAGTCATTCACAGGCTGATGTGCTGAGAAAGCCGTGAGCCCAAACATGCATTTCACAACATCTAACATCTGTTTCAGGAAGCAGTTTGTGGCTAAATTGGGGATGCAGCTGTTCTGTAATCTAGATAAAGCCTCCAACTGTTAAACTTCTCCCCACGATATTGGTTATTGCTTCACTTTAACGTTTAAAAACCTATTCTCTACTGGAAATGTGGAACCCTAAGTGACAATTATGCGATTTTTGCATATTTTATCATATATTCATCAAAAGACATTCCGTTTTAACTCATTTACATTTTCAATTAAATGAGTCATAATTGTGAAATTATTTTGTTTAGAGTTGATGGAAAATTTTAAAGTCATGCTTATGCCATTCTGTATAGTGATATTTGGGAGAAATAATGTACAGCATGAATTTAAAGCTAAAATTATGAGATTGAAATCCTAAATATGAGAGTCAAAATAAAGGCGACCAAAGTATGACAAGACAGAATCATGTTTCAAAGAACAAGTTGGAACAGTACACAGAAAATTTAAATATGACTTAATGAATTAATAAATATTTTACTGTAAATTAAATTAATGAGTGGTCAAAATGTGCTTCTACTGATTTAATTCAGACACTTTGGGAACCAGCTAAAACATTACATTTTAATTTTAAATATGGCTTGTCAAGTCAAACCCATGGCTGATAAAAAATCTTTGATTTAGAACTACCATTTTTATTTTTACACTGGAAACATATATGGAAACATTCAGGATTTCCTTTTATCTCACATTTTTCTATATGTAAAAAACAGTAACGAGTGCAGACAGGCACGGCAAAAACAATTAGTATGACAACATTGGTCAGCATGTGCTGAGAAATACTGAGCCTTTTCATTCTTACCATGTGGCCCAGTCGCACAGCAGGATTGTTTGCATAGTCCTCCACCAGGGAGTGGTAATGTGTGGAGAAGAGCGTACGGCAGCAGATCTTCTCAGCAAGCTCCTTCACAACAGCGCTGGCGATTGCTGTGCCATCATATGTGGCTGTGCCCCTTCCTACAACACGCCACAGACTAATGATTCACCACGATAACACCATGACAGAGAAAACTGCAGAGAGCGCCTCCACACTGTGCCCACTAAGCATGAATGATGGTGGAAAAGTTTACCTAGTTCATCAAGGAGCACCAATGAATGCTTAGTGGCATGGTGCAATATGCTGGCTGTCTCACTGAGCTCCACATAGAAGGTGCTCTCACCTACAGAGGGGACACAGCAGCTTAGATTACAAAGGGTCCACTCAGGCCATAATGTTTATGTGCATGATGTGAGGAAACATTACCGGCCATGATCCGATCCGAGGCTCCCAGTCGAGTGAAAACCCGATCGACTGGAGTAAAACAGAGGCTTTCAGCTGGAACATAGCATCCGAGCTGAGCTAGAATTATCACAAGTCCACACTAGAAGCAATAAAAACAAACAGTGGATTAATAGAGGTTGGTAAATGATAAACAAAATTCAGTGTAAATATTCAAGCAGACCTGTCGCATGAGAGTCGACTTTCCACCCATGTTTGGACCCGTAACCAGGACACACGAGGCGCAACCTTCCAGCCCATCACCGTCACCATTCCCAGAGCAGCCGATGAAGATGTCGTTAGGAATGAAGTCATCCCCGAAAAACGTCTTTGTCACACATGGATGACGAGATCCGGTTAAGTTGATGAAAGGTGCGCTGCGGCCGTCCTCCTCTGGAAGCACCACCTGGGGTCTGGTCATGGGCCCATCTCCTCCCAGACTGTAGCAGGATAAAGCCAGCAGCACATCTGGGAGAAATTAACAGAATGAATCCAAATATTAGGCTAGAATCACTCCCATGTGCTTTGATTAATGGCTTTCCACCAAGTTTCCCATTTTAAGCTAATTCTGGTAAAGCTAGAGCTGCATTATTTGACAAATGTTGTTTTAAACCCCATAATTTAAACCGATAGGAGAAAATCTGACAAACGTTTCCTCAAAGATTTATTTGAAAGATATGTGGAAAATGAGAAATGCAGGAATAACTTTCTGGATTTAAACCGTTCTTACCCAGCACTGCCATGCACTCCGCTCCAGTCTTCCAGTCTTTGTAGTTCTTGTCAAAGTTGTAGAAGAGCCTCCTCATGCAGTCCTTCAGGGCAGCATCCCTCTTCTCCTCAAACCCTTGCAGCTCTGAGAAGAGCCGCTCGCTTTCCTTCGTCACGTAACGCTTCCAGCCTTTCTTTGTGGACTTCACCTCGTACTCCTCTGGGATGTTTCTCTCTGAAACGCTGTCGGGAACCTCCATCTGGAAGCGGTTCCGCCCGGTCCCCCAGTAGGCCATGTTCTTACAGCCGAGCCTCTTCTTCTGCCTCTCCAGGTAGTCCTGAAGGTCCCGCTCGCAGTTTTTGATTCCTGTGAGAGCTTGGTCATATTCAGGGTCAAAGCCAGCTTTAGGGGTTATGACACCTGTTGTACGAGCCTTCTGGTGGTCAAAGGCAGTTTCCCAGCGCTTCAGCTCTGCTGAGAGATCAGGGAAGAGCCCGTTCTCTTCCGTCTTCACACTGATAATCTGATGAAGCAGGGTGGAGCGGAAGTCACCTAAAACTGGGGCGAAAGCAGAAATGATGTCTTGCATGGTTTTGAAACCTTCCAGTGCCGAAAGGAAGTCGGCTATCTTGCGCTTGCTGTAGGTGACCTCCTCGTACAGCACCGCTCTGGAATCAGGGTGGTCCTGGCCTTTCAGTGGAGTACCGATGCTGTGAATTTTACTAAGAAGACGCTCCAGATCCGGAAGCTTTTTCAGCATTTCTGAGACCTCGGTGGCCTGAGCCTGAGCTCCCATCAGGTCCTCCACAGCATCCAGTCTGTCCCTGATGGAGGCGGGGTTACACAGAGGAGCACAGAGCCACTGTTTCAGCAGCCTCTTACCAAACGGAGTGGAACAAGTGTCCAAACGCTCCAACAGTGTCCCTTCTGTTCCTCCTGAACCGTTCTGGAAGATTTCCAAGTTTGCCAGGGTGACTCCATCCAGGACCATACGCTGACGGGTCTGGGAGAAAAAACTGGCAGGTCCAGCAGCTTTCTCCAATTCAACGTCAACAGGGACGTATTCTTCAAAGTTTGCCAGGGAGAGCAACTCTTTGTCTACCAGACATTTCTTCAGGTAGAAGATGCAGCCGCCTAGAGCAGAAAGTGCCAACTCATAACCTTCCTTAGGCGTTAGGCACAGGGAGTCGCTCTCTGAGGTCATCCTCTTCAGAAGCGCAGGGAGGAAACATTTGGATTCTTCTCCAGCTACCTCGTCGAAATAATTCTCCTCAGAGAGGTTTTTAAGAGTCTTCTGAGCGTCCCAAAACTGGGTTCCTGCATTCAGTCCTTCCTGCAGAGCAGAGGACAGAGATGCCTTGAGTATTTTGCGGGTTTCGGCAGACAGGTTGCCTTTTTCAAAGAGAACTTCAGCAGGAGGAAAGTGTGCAATCAAGGTGCGCAGCCGGGAGCAGTGGCGATCGTCTGCAAACTGACCGATATGGAAATATCCCACTGACGTGTCTGCAAAGCAAACGCCGTAGGTGCGATGTCGACCAGAGCTCTCATCTTCGGCCTTTTCCTTCAAACTCAAAAGGAACTTGCTCTGGCTCTCCGATGGAGCGCCGTCCAACACGCTGTAGGTCTGGGTTCCACGTGTGATAATCCGGCACACTTCTCTTCTGACCACACGGTCATATTTGGTGGGCTTGGCCATAGTTTTGCAGCGTGCCTCCATCATCTCAGGGGTCTCCGTCTGCTCCACGCGAGCCACCTTATAGCCTTTCTGCACCAACACGTCGGAGAAACGTGCAAAGCCAATTTCCGGGAAGCCAGAGTGCGCCCAGGTTCCTTTCATGAATGTCAGACCCAGCTCGTTGACTCCGATCACCGCATCCATGTGGTACAGCTCATAAAACTTCCCCACCTTGTAGAAAATCACAGTGTCAAACATCCCCGATTTTAGCTGCCACCAGCGACGCATACCAGGAGTGTTTCTGTTTAGAAAGTCTTCAGGCACATACAGGGTGGTGGGATCATAGTCCTCCTCACTCTGACGACATCTTTTACCATCTTTCCTTTTACCATCCTGCAGCCACTCCAGCTTCTCGTGATCCCAGACTGTTGCGCCTCCTGTGGCCCCCGATCCATTAGTCTGGCTCTCAAAGCTGTCAGGAGCTGAGAAGGCTGACAAGCGGGACTTGGTGTCTGCCGTGATCACAGTCGGAGCTCGTTTAGGAGCAGCAGAGGGTGTAGCAGGCGCCTTTGCTTTCTTACTGACGGACTTCTCTGCAGGACGTTTGCGCTTCACGGGCTTAATGGGGCTGTCTGGTTCGGACTCCTGACTGCTCCTCCTCTCCTCTTCACTACTCACGGTGGCCTCTTCCTCCTCTTCCTCGCTGCTAGATGCAGCATGCTCTGGTTTGAACTCTTCGTCTGATCCGTCGCTGTCTGAGGCCACAACAATGCGCCGGCGCTTGGCTTTGCTTGATTGCTCTTTGGAAGCACGTGACAAATCC